GTTGTGCCATCACTGGGGGTTAATGTTGAGCACCAGTTGATGGATCTCAGTTCTTCGGTTCTGATTAAGGCCACCAAGCCCCTGAAAAGAAAAGGTCCACATGGGCCTTCTTTCCAAAACTGGGAATTGGTTTCCAGCAAAAAATAAAACCATAGAACAAAGCCAGGGGTGGGATGCTACGGTTCTGTCCACCTCTGTAGAACCAGTAGTTCTGAAGAACAGCAGACAGAAAGCATACATAGAACCAGTTCTATGTCTGCTGCTGTTTTGGCCCACCCACCCGGGCTCTTACCTGACCTTTATTTCCTGCTTTTTCAACTGCAGATGCTTTGTGCGACATAGCTGTGGTTGAAAAAGCAGGAAAAAAGGGCTTTTCCAACGACTGTGCACCTGCACGCAGCGCCGCTTAGCTATCCGGTCGTAAATTGCACTCGCGCGACTTGCGCGACACAGAGTGTCAGAACTGGTAGTTATACTGGTAGGATCCCATCCTTGAAAAAGGTGAGGGCAACAGCCAAACCCCTCCCACAAGAAGGGGCTAAACATCTGAAAGTGCCTCTGAATGTTGGTACCTGATTGGTATGTTGTTGTTTTAGTTCACTGCAATTTTCTCAGCTAATTAGAGGGAAGCCACTATATTCTACTACCCTCCACAAGAAGTCTTCGACATACGGCCACAATTGAGCCCGACCTTTCCATTGCTAAGCAAGATGGTTGTTAAGTGGAATTTTGACCCCTTTTTGACCCCTTTCTTGAACAGTTGTTTAAGTGAATCTGCCTCCCCCATTGACTTTGCTTGTCACAAAAAGTGGTCACATGACCTTGGGACACAGAAATGGTCATACATATGAACCAGTTGTCAAGCATCCAAATTTCGATCATGTGGCCATGGGGATGCTGTAGTGGTTGTAGATGTGAAAATGGTCATAAGTCACTTTTTTCAGTTCCATTGTAACTTTGAATAGTCATTAAATAAATGGTTGTAAGTCAAAGACTATCTGTATTGTATTTTTTTGGCTTTGTTTTTGCCTTCAGGTCAGATTTTTCTCCTGGTAGAATACAATGCACTCCTGGTGGAATGCAATTTTGAGTTCTTCCCAGAGCTAAGGTGGAGCAACTGGCCAAGGCCACCCTACTGGTTTCTCTGTTGAAAATAAAAATTAGAACTCAGGTTTCTGTGCTCCTAATCCGGTGCCTTAACCATTAGACAAAATTATCTCTCATCTTCAACATTAGCACTGTCCAATACTAGTGGCATTGTTTACTGAAAATGACCATGGACTTGTGTCAAATGTTTTTTTTTTAAAGACACAATTATGCAGCCATTTAGCCACTGCTAATGTTCATGACTTGAGCTTTCTGCCCTGTTTGCAGAGACATTTGAAGGGTCCCAAACTGAGTAAATTTGAACCTGTTCATCTTTTGGGATAGGCACTTGAGAGCTTTTCTATCTGGAGGCTCTATAATCTGATTTGTGGGCTTATTCAATGCAATGTTATCTACCTGAGACATAACTGTAGATATTTCACATTTACTTATCTGTGTGAAGCTGCAGGCTAAAATTATGAATGTGTCTTTCAAATATTGCAAGACATATTGCTGGGGGGGAGGGGGGAGGGAAGGGGAAAAAAAGCATCTTGCTGATATTTACTGAAAAGATGAGCTGAGCTTGCTTTTCAAAGCTCCCTGGATTAATTAAAGCTAAAATGTCATTCATGTATATATCATATGCATTTTTCCAGGCACAGATGTCTGTCTGGTGCCAATATGCTGTTTATGTACTTGTCTGTCTCAAGCACATGGCCATGGACATATGCCCTTCTGGCATGGGCACATCATGTAGCCAGAGACGCCTATTAGGCTGCTAATGAATCATCGGCATTAAAAAGGGTGGGTTGACAGAGAAAACAGAATGTGGAACTTTTTAGGAACAACATACCTTATTTTTCTAGCCATCTTTGAATTGCAAAATGGGAGGCAGATGATTTGTGGGTACGCTAACATCTGCAGGGCCTGAGTAGACGCCTGAAACACAACTGGACTTTTCACATGTTTCAGAAGGGGTGTTTTTGGCACAGCAATGATTCTAAATCCTAATGTTGGTGATGAACAGGAGTGCGATGGCTGCTGAGGAATTCTGAACAGCCAAAGCAGATGTTTGGCTTATATCAACAGCAGGAGTTCTACATATTTGAAATGGGGAGGAGAATACGCCATTTCTTGTAATATAAGTAATATAAGTTCCCTCTGCTCTGTTTCTTCCCTGACCAGGGTCTGCAGTAGGTTTTGATCCAAAGTCTGAGAGGACGTTTCAAGAGCTAAATTATTTTAGCCATCTTGTACACTAGACATGGAGACCTTAATATATTTGATAGACGTATACCTCATCTTTTCTCCAACAGCTTGAGCCAGGATCAATTTACCCAAAAATCTCCATTTTATCTGTACCACATGGATTGAGCTGGGAAAAAATGATTGATGATGTCCTTCAGTGAGCTTCTGTGGCTGAGGTTGGCCTTCTAATTTCTAGGATAACACCTTAACCACTGCACCAAACCAAACTTTAAAGTGACTTTATTGGTAGCAATGCTCCTAGGAGCTATATTTTAGGATCTCAGGGAATAAAACAGTGAATATTATAAGCCCTAAATTCTTCTCAGACTTGGATATTAATAAGAGTGGCATAAATCAAGTAGTAGTATGACTAATTGCTGTTGATTGAAGTAGCAGCATGACCAATTGCTGTTCAGGCATGACCTGAACATGTGCCATAGCAAGACACCCATATCCCTGCCCCAGTGTTTTCTTAGTTGTCCAAAAGGTGGCTGGTAGAATAGACTAGCTTTGTTACACATGTTTTAATTTGAAAAAAAAAAACCTTCTATATTAGTCTTCCTGAAACTTTGGAGAGTCAGCATCAACTCAAAATTGTCCCCGACCACACCTAAACCAGAGGAATTATAGGACTGACAAATTATTTTAATTGAATTATTTTATTGATTATTTATTTTAATTTGATTAAAAACAATCAAATTATTTTTAATTTGATTGTTTTAGTCTTGAATTTATATATATCTGTAAATTTATAGTAAGGTGTCACTCTCTCATACTCTGTGCCTAACCTATCCCTCAGTTTGGGAACATTCCTCATAAGGAACCAACTTCTTTCCTCTATTTTAGAAAGCTAATAATTTCACTATTGGAATTCCTGTTTAAAATTGCTATTTGTAAACATATTGAACACAAGTGTCAGACTTCAAGAACAGATGGGAAAGCAGGATACACAGATGGAAAAATCGTCACGTCCTTAGAGGAGCGATATAAAATCTAAACTACAGGGAAATAATAGTTCACTCTTGAAAGTTATAATACAACTATATCAGGCATTTAACTCATGGTTTAAAAAACAATGTATTAAGACATTTATGTGGTACATAAACATTTGTTTCTCAGGGCATCAAGCATTAACACATTTCCTAGTCCAGTACCATATTACTACTTCATTGCTGTCACACAGTAGCAAAGCTTTCCAAATTTCCCACAGTTCTATGAATTCTGGAAAATGGCCCCACTCTTTTCAAGGCTTTCAGAACTTCCTCAAAAGTATTCATATTAAAAAATCAAATTTGACCTTCATGATAGACCCCATTTTGTTGAGGTCCATTTTAAGGTCAAAGTTGTGGTAAACATCCTCGTGCTTGCATTTAGAAACCTCGAGTAAGGGCTCAGAACATGAGTAATTTTCTCGCGCTATTGAAAGTGAAACAATAGGATGTTCTGGCAAGTGCTGCTGTGGCTCATCTAGGTGCCAAACTCCAGAGCCTTGTAGGCAGAGGTCTCCATCCTTAGCAACTTTAAGACTTATGGACTTCAACTCCCAGAATTCCTCAGCCAGCTTTGCTTTGCTGGCTGAGGAATTCTCGGAGCTAAAGTCCACAAGTCTTAAAGTTGCCAAGGTTGGAGACCTTGAGAATGCCAAAATGACAATCTGGAGAGCAGCAATTGAGGAAAAGCTATCCAACTTTACAATGACCAATCCTCATTTTATTATGTCTACTTTTTTAAAATAACCTATTTCTACAATAAACATTTTTTATTCCAAAATATTCATGCACAAGTAGTCCTCAACATATGACCACAATTGAACCCAAACTTTATGTAGCTAAATGAGAAATTTGTTAAGTGAGTTTTGACCCATGTTACAACTTTTCCTGCCATGTTTGTTAAGTGAATCACTGCAATTGTTAAATTAGTAACACAGTTGTTAAGTGAATCGGGTTTCCACATTGACTTTGTTTGTCAGAAGTTTGCAAAAAATGATCACTTGATCCCAGGACACTGCAACTGTCATAAATATGAACAACTTGTCAAGGATCTGAGTGTAAATACGATCTGTATTTTGGAGCTAAGTTACAAAAACTCCATTTCATTCCTAAATCAAGGGGGCCACATTGTGGTTTGAACTCTCCCTGTTGTTTATGTGTATCCCACGTCCAACACATGTAAAAAAAACTAAAATTATCCAGAGCGTTGAATTCTCAGCATTGGAGCCACCATCTTGAATTTCTTACTATGTATTGCAGACATATCTGAATCTTCATGTAGAAAATACCATTTGGAAAATGAATTTTCAAAACAAATTCCTACAACCATTTTGCTACTTTTTTTGAGTTTGAATTGAGTTCTATCATTACAAAGCAAGCAGAGGACATGAACAATAATACTTTGCTGTGGAGATGTGATTTTGAAAATTAGTCAGATTTGGTGATACATAAAACCCAGACTTTGTGGCAAATATATATCATGCAGAAAGCTTTATTTAAAAGTATTACTCAGAAAAGAATTTTGTTTTCACAGTATGTATATAAATACATACACACACACATGCACACACACAATTTTATGTCATTGAAAATTAAAAGTAAGAACGTGTATGTATTGAATTAACAAGAACATCATTGGATAGACACCCATGAGAAAATTATTTCTCTCAGTAGAGATTACAGCTCCTTTAAATATTGTAGTAAGGGTTCCAGTGGCATGTCTTGGTGATAATGAAAAGGCCGAAATGCTTTATCAATTTTTAGAGGACTGAGGCACAGGTCATAAATTTGATTGTAGTTATGAATCAAACGCTTGGCTTTTTCTTTTTCCAGCTTGCCTGTAGTTCATTTAAAAAAAAAACAGTTTTTCTATTTGGACAAATCAGATGTAATAGCATATAATGTATATCCTTGAAGAGGTTCAGTGTAATGTCATGGGATAGTTTAATGTTATCAGAATTACTGTGACTGCTGTGCTCATTTCTTATTCATTTTTTAGTGAGGGGGAGATGTGAAAAACATCCCCATCTGGAATGATTGGGCCTCAGTGGGGATAAAGAGGTAGAAGCAACAATAAAAGGCCCTTCCAACTCTGATTATCTGTTATCTGTTAAAATTAAAAGATAAAGGAGTCCCTGGGGAATTTACGCTGCCAGTTGTTGCCAATTATAGGGGGCGGTACTCATCTCTGTTTCAAGGCTGCTGAGCCAGCAATGTCTGAAGACATTTCTACGGTTATGTGGCCAGCATAATGTCATGGAGTGCTGTTACATTCCGACTGAAATGATACCTGTTTATCTATTTGCTTTTACATGCTTTTGAACTGCTAGCTTGGCAGAAGCTGGGATGAGGATGGGAATTTAATCGTTTGTGTGGCACTCAGGTCTCAAACCTGGGCTGCCAGCTTTCCAGCTGACAAGCCCAGCACCTTAACCTTTGAGCCACCACATTACTGCTATAAGAAGCAATTCTAATTGTCAATACGCCACCATGTACAGATAGTCCTTGACTTACGACCATAATTGAGCCCAAATGATCTAAGCAAGGCAGTTAAGTGAGTTTTGCTCCATTTTATGACCCTACCTGCCACATTGGATGAGTGAATCAGTGCAGTTGTTTAAGTTAGTAATACGGTTGTTAAGTGAATCTGGCTTCCCCATTGACTTTTTACTTGGAAGGCCAGAAGGTCAGTTGCCAAGCGCACAAAATTTGATAATATGACCATCGGGATGATGGAGTAGTCATTATCACCTTGCATTGTTGTGAAAAATGGTCATAAGCCATTTTTTTCAGTGCTGTTTAACTTTGAATGGTCACTAAATGAACGGTTGTAAGTCATGGGCTATCTGTATAGTATACCTCTATTAGACCATTGCTAAATGACTTCTTAGGTGGCTGAAGTCATATATGTCTTTATATATGACACCTAATACTATTAGTTGTCATCTAATAGTATTATGACATCTAATACAATGAAATTCTATGTCATGGCATCTAAAATCAAGAAGACAACAGTTCTTTAAAAACATGCTTACTTTACTTTTTTCCCTCATGCTGTTTTTTAAAAGATATGCCATGCCCCTTTCAGAATCTGAATCTGAGGAAGAAGCTGGACAGCTGACAGGGAATGGGAATGTGGCTCCCTTGGCTGTGGAGGAGGCTGGGGAATGGCAAAGTCCAGCTGGGCAGAGCAGAGAAGAGACAGAACAAGGGAGAACGAGTTCAGAGGAAGAACTAGGCCCACTCCCTCTTCATCCTAGGGCACACAAGGAGGAACAGAGAATAGAGCAACATGGGTTGTATGGCTTATGGGGGAGGAAAGGGCCCAATTCCCTTCATTAGCCACAGCTGGGAAGACAGTTTATAAGAAAGGCTGCGTGCGGCAGGCTGTTGGGAGCAAACATGACTTTATCCTGTGTTGTCGTGGCTTATCTGTGTTCCTGGCATCTTCCCAACCATGTGAGCCTGAAATTCAAGTCTGAAATTCTTGCTCCTCCCTGCCAAACTAATTACTTCAGTTTGGCTAGTTTGGACTTTAAGTTACAGTTTGTATTGACCATGTTTTGGACTTAATTTTCTGCTGTCAAAGGCTGTTCCTGTGAGAGGAACAGTTCCTTCTCCAGCCAGAAGGTAATCTGGATACTGGGGGTAAAGTTGGAGATAATAAAGGGACTCTTATTGATTATCTGACTGTGTTGCCTTTGTGCCATGCCTCGGATCATCACAATATATATTTTAGTGTATTTTATATAGAATAAATTTTATACTGGTGCTAGATTTCTCTGTACATTATTTATTAATTTATACTTAGGTTTGATTTATGGAAACAAGCAGGATTTTAGACACAGTTCAAATTAAACTTTATTACTACCAAAGACCATAATAGAATAATACATATTATAAACAGGAAGGAAATAATATGATGAGCAAAGGCAAGCATACAAAGTCCATTGGCATTTACTGTGTATTTGATTATACGACATTGGACTTTGTATGCTTGCTTTTCCCCATCATATTATTTCCTTCCTATTTATAATGTATTATTATAAGATAGTCTTTGGTGGTATTAAAGTTCAATTTGAACTGTATCTAAAATCCTGCTTGTTTCCATACAATGCAGATTGCAGAGATGCTTTCCCTTCCTAGCAATCTCTTCCATAGGTTCTCTCTACCCCGTGGATAAGATCAACCTCCATGCATTAACTATGTTTCCCAAGTAAGGTCTTTGTCAGTACATATACAGCATGGAAATGTAGTGCTGGAACTGGAGGCACGTATGATCACACGAGCAAGGCCAATATGTACAACCCAGTTGCGTTTCTGTGCATTCTCAGTATTATAGAAATTAATGTTTGGAAAGGCTTACAATTTGCTTGAATCACCCAGCTGTGCTTATGCAGATAGAAAATAAAATATGCTGTTTTATCTTCATTAATGTTAGTTAAGCAGAACCTTGTTTGGGTGGGATCAGCCTTACCTGTGTTTTTGACATCAGATAAATAAAGGGCTTTCTCCATTTTTCTGAACCGGTCTATCCAGGCCTCTTGGGCTTCAGAGTCACTGACATCATATGAATTCCATGGATTAGCAGTTTGAAGTTTATACGGTTCTTTAATCTTCAAAGGAACATGTTATATTATCAGAAGTTTAGCACTTGTCAGCTCTCATAATAAAATTGTGGTGAAGAACTGTACTTAGTTCACTGTTAAGAGTTCCTACAAACATTTAGTAATTATTATATACAATTTATTCATTGAAATCAACATATCAAATTTGTAGCTTTCTGTGACAAGATCACTTGCATGATGCAAGCATTTTGGGTTCTATGTTCAACTTTCTTCATCTCGCAACTTCAACTCTTAACAAATGGGCCAAAACTGAAATATTTCCTGAGGGCACCAGGCTGAGGGGAAGCTATCCTAGATAATGCAGAGTTTTTAATCTCATTTTTTTACAATGGAAATTGGTATTCTAACAGGTTGTAGTAGACAGAAAGAATATATTCATAGATTCATAGAGGATATTCATAGATTTTTAAACAATTTGTGTTAATAAAACTATAAACAGTATTACTGTTTTATGAACAAGAAGTCTTAGCATAGGAAGTGGTGTCAAAATTAATTGAATCAATTAAATAATGAGTAATGTATAATTTTCCATTAAGAGTTTGAGGATTTATCAATAGGAATTTTAAAGTACCTGAGAATTATCTTCAGCTTTCTCCTCATTTCTTCCTAAGACGGAAACAATTATGAGGTTTTTTGTTTATTCAGTTGAAAGATTAGTTTAATGAGTCAATTTATGAAGCATCAGCTTCTCTCAAAGGTGATAGGAAGACATTTCTGAAGCCATAAATGCTAGTCATTTGAACATTAATACCTGATATGATCAAACTAGTACAATATTAAAAAATAGAGCTGTACTGAACTTGTAGAAATGTTGATGAACTTCATATCTCAACATCATGAGCTGTTTAAATGCTGGACTTATAGTTCAGCAACATCTGGACATCTACAAATTCCCGAATTCTGCTTTTGAAAATGTAAATATATCTTACTGTGATGCAATAGAATAGAAAACCCTGAACAGGAGCTCTTCAATGACAAACTAACCCGAACTAATAAAAAGGGAGAACAGTGACTGTTTTTCAAAAGAGAAATTGCAAGATAATGATAGGAGGGAAGACAGGGCAAATGTATAGTTACAGAGACAATGATGGTTCTTCAATTATTGCTGTAATTACTTATGGAGACTTGTTCATGTTTTTCTCCCTTAAACTGACAACCTTGTGAGAGATATCCTTTTTCATCATAACATAATCTAATTCCCACATTTCTCTCGATTTCAGTTTTCATATCCTTCAGTTAAATCCTGTAGTTTGTCATTTGTATTGATTGGATATTATGGATAGAAGACCAGATTGTACAGCATAAAATTAAATGATGGAAAAGCATGAATCAAGTCCCAGAAATGAAAAGCAGTCCTCATTGGAAATGCAGCTGGTTTGCTTATAGCCAGATGGTTAAAGTTCAAGGCCAACTGTTGCATCCTGATCGGTTTCTGTAGCAATGATTGCAATTGGCTCACCTTTGCATTTAGTCATCCCCTGAATATTAAATATGCCAGAGTGCTTTCTCAACATAATTAGATTAATGCACCATCTAACTCAATGTTTCACATCCATCTCTCTACCAGCAGTCTGTAAATCACATGCCCAACTGTTCTAATTGTTCCTAACAGATGTATTGCAATAGTCTGAGAAGCCAACAAAGATGAGAGTAGTATTAGATTGGTTGTTTTGTGGATGTTGTTTAACAGTTTAACAACAGTAGATATAGGAGGTATTATAAGACTGCAGCATCATTGGGAATAATAGCAATAGCACTTATAACTAAGAGCTGCACCACTTCACAGTGCTTTACAGCCCTCTCTAATCAGAATCAGAGTCAGCATATTGCCCCCAACAATCTGGGTCTTCATTTTACTGACCTTGGAAGGATGGAAAGCTGAGTCAATCTTGAGCTGTTCAGGATCAAACTCCTGGCAGTGGGCAGAGTTTGCCTTCAATTCTGCATTCTAACTACTGCACCACCCACAGCTCTTGGGAATAAACTCCCAGTGCCCTTCTTCAACCTATGACCTACAGATATGTTGCAACTACAATTTCCAGAATTCTTAGAGCAAATGGGGTTGCAATCCTAAAATATATTTAGGCATTGGGTTGGAAGAAACTACATTAGAAGTATTATTCTTTTGTTTTCTACATGAGGGAGTGTGAGAAAGTTAAAGGCAAACATCACGGAGCATGGGGAAAGCATGCTACATGAGATACATTATCTCCATCATGACTTATAAAATAGTGAAAACAAATTGGAAAAAATGCAGTTCTCATGTTTACAGAATGACCTCAATTCTCATGTTTCAGATTTTTAAAAAATATTCATTGTAACCCAGAGTATTATCATATATGAAACATGCTCTTAACATGAGTGGTGATATTATTAACCATATTTTCTAACTTGCAGTTTATCCAGACAAACTTTTGAACCTTTCTTTGGGTGAAGTTGCATTATTAATTCAGGCTACGTGTCGGATTGCCTGTACCAGCTGAGACAATATTTACATATTGCAAAGAGAACTGCCATAGGAATATACTTGTAGAAGAAAGCCATCAAACATCTATTCTTGCATGAAGTTGTTGTATTGGATGCATGCCCAAAAAATCTAACTTGTTGAAACTTGTTCTAGACTGTGAGGTCAAACTGTAAAGTGACTCTTTATAATCCTAAGATTAAACAAAACTGTCCAAGTTCTATCTTGCCAGATACTCCATTTAGAAGAAAATTGTGTGGCAGAATTATTACTAATTTCTGTTTATATGTCAACTTTGAATCCATGCCAAGACAAATGATCAAATGTTAGGAAAAGAGGGAACATATTTAACTATTTTGTCAAAGCACTCAAATTAACTGACAACAGGATAGCAGGACGGAAGTGAAATGAGAGAGTAAATATATTGAGACCATCGAATGGCCAAAATAGGAGTTATGACTGAATATTAGAGGTTTTGGAGTTCTGCCATTTAGAGCTGGCATCACAAACTGTGAACTTGTATGACAGCCATAGTTAAGTAACACCGATGATCTTAGCCTTACAAAACTTTTCAAAATTCTAGTGACGTGAATTGTATGCTTTTTAGAAGACATTGCAAAAATGGCTACTTAACAAAGAAGACCCAGAGGGACGTAACATTGATGAATTACAGGCATTGGAAAGTAGATTTTCTATTAACTTGTGAGAAAAATAAATGATTCAGACTTGTTTATATGCAAACATTTTATAGCCATTCTTAAGCATCAATAGAAAGTTTTATTAAAGAACATCATGATGACCTTTCTTCCTAAAATAAATATCATTTCCTAGTTTGGAGAAAATATCATGCCCATTCTAATGGAAGTTTATATGAATTTAGGTAAGGTTTATATGAAACCAGGATCATCATTACTTTTCTGTTCTGAAAATGCCACATGATCTGCAGGGAACTAGTAAATAGAACAAACATACCATGAACAAATGTGTGGTATATTGCAAAATTCTACAGGAATGTAAAATGTATCATCATATTAATTTGATTAACATGCTGAAAAATAGAAGTTAATTCCTTACTTTTACAAACAAGCAAAGCAGGGTTCATTCCAGTTTGGACTTTCTTCAGCAACTCTACAAATGGTTTCCATCTACAGATGGAAATACATTAAAATTAAACATAATTAATGCAGGCAGATTTGTTTGACAGCAAAAAGAGCCAGTGTGTTGAATGAAGTCATTTCTTCTGTCCCAGGTGTTTTGTGTTATTCTGTATGCCACTCATGGCTTTTTCATCTACCCAACTGTGCTTAACATGGATGGCCCCATTCACACCAGTGTCTAATCAGTCACCTGACAGCCACTTAAATTCTAAAATCTAAAGTTTAAAATTCTAAAATTTGTAATTTAGCGTCTCTAACATTTTTAAATTCCAAAATTGCACTCAGTACAATTGAGCTGGAGAAACCTCAGAGTTCCTTGTAAGAACAGGGAACTGGAGAACTTTCCATGAAAACTTTTAAAATTTTACAGGTATGCCATTTACAGCCCCTTGTTATCACGAAACTACAACACAGCAATCAAAGGCACGGACTTCTTTTTCAATCTATCTTTCTATACCATATTTTATTTCTTTAGCAAGACTTTGTTTTGGGCTTAAAGACCTGAGAAAAATCAAACTTAAATACATTTAATTTGGAAATGGCTCAGAGCTAGATTATTAGGTAATTACAGCAGAATTTTATTCCCAATGGAAATTGAGATTAAATTAGACAATGCACAGGTAAATTAATGCAGATGACACACATTCACACAATTTATTTTATTTATAATAGAACACAAAAACATTTGGAGGTCTTAATTCTCAGTTTGCCTAAGAGTTTGCACAGACACCAAACATTAAGGAAGAGATCCAATTTTTTCTCTCCTCTTCCTAGCTTTGTACATTATTATCTTAGAAGAGAGATATTTCAATGGCTCCTTTAATATCAGCATGAACTAGTTAATGGAGGAGTTTGCTGAACAAATCTAGTCACTTGCATCAACATGGTAAGTGCTTCATTGCTAGCATCACATCATTTCAATCCTGCTATCATGTTCAGAACCAGTCTATATATTGTATTTATTTTTATATTTTTACCCCATATTTTTTTCATTTGCAGCTCAATCCTCCTCCTGTTTTCCTTCTCCCAACAACAACAACCCTGTGAGTTGGGCTGGGAGAGTGTACCGACCCAAAGTCACCCAGCCAGTTTTTCATGCTTAAAGCAAGACTAGAATTCAGCCTCCTGGTTTCTAGTCTAGGCCAGCATTTTAACCAGCACACCAAACTGGCTTTCTAGGGATTGTGGTTTCTAGGATCATAGTGTCAAATTATTGTGGACAAAAAAGAAGTAAGCATTCCATTAAAACTCACTGCATTCTGCCTCTTCTACCAAAGTCACATAAATTGGCCAAAGTTTCCATCATCCCAGGATGTAGAATTAGTCCGTGTTTTTGGCAAATATTCTCTACCTGAAAATTACATGTTTTCATGAAATTTTATTGGCAAGCTATAAACAAAAAAAAGAGCTACATATAGAAAAATAACAACTGCATGATTGAGAAAACAAAATTTCTCGTGTCTTTTTAGAGTAAAGGGTGTTCAAAACTCACTCGCCTAGGACCTTGCACACAAAGCATTGAAAGAGCTGGAATTCGCTCAATGTAGCAGGCTTCATGCCTGCTTCATATTTCACCTTCTCATAGCCGTCATATAACAGTTAAATATTACCTGCCACAAAACCTTCCCAGAGAATTGAATTCTGAAACATGTAAGTCAACAATGATATTTTGGATAGAGCTGGAATTAAAGAACAGTGAAAAGCAAAAATAAGGAACCAGACTGTAGATTGTGGTCCCCAAACTTGGCAACTTTAAGACTTGTGGACTTCAACTCCCAGAATTCTATTTCTGATATTATTTTATCAGTGCAACATAGGTCAAAAACTAATATAAAATTATATAAAGATTTATGTATTGACATCCAAATGGATCTGTGTTCAAAAGACAAAAGCAAAGGCATACTAAACAGTACTTTAAAAATACTATAATATCTAATAAAAGTGATTAAACAAGCAAGTGGCAGAGTTTCCCAACTTAAATTTATGCTAGTAGTGACTATATAAATAGATTAGTAAATTTAACTAATCATTTATTTATCATATCTATATAGCCACCCATCTCGCAAATATGACTCTGGGCAGCATACAATTAAAAAATAAGCCAAAAAATGAACAATATTCAAAACATTCTACAATGAAAAAAAACACCATAAAGACAAAGGGAAAGCACCTTCAATGATATAGGCAATGTAGCTATCTCACAATTCACTATTTCCTTGAGGTCTTCAAGCTTGTTGACACAATCAATGTTTTAAGGCAGAGGTCTCCAACCTTGGCAACTTTAAGACTTGTGGACTTCAATTCTGGGAGTTGAAGTCCATGGGTCTTAAAGTTGCCAAGGTTGGAGACTCCTGTTTTAAGGGACTTCCTGAAGGATGGGCTCAATCTCACCATGGCTTGAGGGTTCCACAGGATGGATGATGTGACAGAAAAGGCCCTTCTCTGGGGTCCCATGAGATGTAACTCCTTAACAGATGGGACCACAACATACTTTTTTCTGCTGGGCATGTTGGGATAGGCCAATGTGGTTGGGAAGAGATTGTCTCTCAAATGGTCCCTTACCTCAGAAAATGAAAAAAGGCCTGAGCAAATCTGGTCTTCTTGCAGAAAACTCTGTGTTAATTTTTCAAAATCCAGCTGTCCATTGTGTTCTTTTAGTATCTGCTTCAGTGCCAGAAATGTATTTTCTGGTGTCCAAGAGCTAAAGAGTGATAGTATGAAGAGACAATTTATCTTGCATTCTTGAAAAAAAGTGCTACATATTAAAAATTTAACATTTGCATATTAAAACTGTTGTTTTAGTCTTAGGCTATTGCTAATCAAATGGAAGCTGAAAGCAGAAGATTCCTCTCCCATGCTTTTTTATTGATATTTATAATATAATATGCAAAATTAAAAGAGAACCTTGGATTCTTTTTATTTTGATTCTTCTCAGGAAGTATATGTTGCATTTGGCTCGATGCCTGGAGTGTTAATAACTGGATCAATTTTTCATAATCTATCTAGGAGAAACATAAAGAAATGTAATTTTAAAGACTAATTTTAAAACAGGGATTCAAAATTCCAGAAGGAAAAAAAATATGGTGTAGAAAACATTACTGCTATTGGTTGAACTGTGTATAATATCTGTTAATAAACTATAAACTTAATATAGCTGAAGAGGCTCGATCTGCTGAAATCCATGGGATCAGAAAAGAAGAAAACCCTCTTAGGCCAGACCAATGGCCAACACTGGAAGCAGTCTATTCTTCATTGACTTTCCATAATTATCAGCCAGATAGAATAGAATAAAAGAGTTGGAAGGGACATTGGAGGTCTTCTAGTCCAAACCCTTGCTTAAGTAGGAATCAGATCACCACTGTTAAGCCAAAGGCAAGTGGGGGGAACATTATAACAGTTTATGCTTTTGTCTCTTTGCAACTGGAATTCGAGGACACATGCTGCCTCTAATCCTGAATATCCACCCACCTACCCATCATCTATTTATCCATTCTCTCTCTCTCTCTCTCTCTCTCTCTCTCTCTCTCTCTCTCTCTCTCTCTCTCTCTCTCTCTCTCTCTCTCCCTGCCTCTGTCTGTCTGTCTGTCTGTCTGTAAGCTTTGGAATCCTTATTCATCGCTGCCACATAGCTTGAAAAAGTGGGAGGGGGGTGATTTTTATTGAGTAGCTCTAAGTAGACAAAATAGAATTCTTTTGTTAGTTCAAGGTCATGGAGGAACAAAAAGGAACTTTCTTTGGGATTGGTTCATGTGATGTGATGATGAGAGAAAAGGGGATGGATTGTAGTTTGGGACATTGTGGGAAGTCTGGGGAACTTTTAGTTTCAAAATTCCACCGATGTGCCAGGTGCTATTCTAATAAAGGTACTTTTGAGATTATGCTTGTCTCGGAGTTACTGATTGAAATGGAGGTCCCCTGGAACGCTGACACTATCCACCTATCCACCCATCCATATCTATCTCTATCTCTCATCTATCTCTATCTATCTATCTATCTATCTATCTATCTATCTATCTATCTATCATCTATCTATCTATCTATCTATCTATCTACCTACCTACCTACCTACCTACCTACCTACCTATTATCTATCCATTCATCCATCCATATCTATCTCTCATATATCTATATCTGTCTGTCTGTCTATCTATCTATCTATCTATCTATCTATCTATCTATCTATCTATC